AACGGATTTCTCATGGGTAAGTACTGCCACACTATGTTACATCTAACCATGGATGGCACATCAGAGGTATTCAACTCTGTCAAAGCTCTCTCCCGGGAAGATGCAAAGAAAATGAGATCGACAATGGAAAAGATCTTTATGCCTGCGTTCAATTTCCAGAAGCCCGAGGAACTGGTGGAAATGGTTTTCCAGGCTTATAAAAAGTCTTTAAGTACAAGGATTTGTGGTTGTCTCAAAGTACCAGACATGCAATGGATGGGAGATGAATACCTGCTAGAGACGTATGGGGATCAACTTTGTGAATCTTGCTTCTGGAAATTGGAGTGTGCCAATTTCTGGTGGGTAGTACCGTCGTTTGCTATGGATTGGCCACGTTGATTGCATCAGTAGTTGTACTTTCATGTTTGTTGAAAGACTTCTGTTTACTTAAGTAGATTTGTTTTTATTATGAAGTAGACTTATGAAAGTTATGTTGCCGCGGTTATGAATGTTCATACCAAATAATGTGTGAGTACTCCTTCGCCGTCGGTGGAATCGACGAAGCCAAGACGTCGCTATTACCGTTTGAACTCGCTTATATCGCAAGACCAGCCGATTTATATCGAAACTCGCTCATAAGTTTATGTTTTCTGCTGGGTTTTCACCTCCTTAAATGTACTGTACTTTAGTTGGTAGAGCTATAAACATTACAAGTACATATGTTTATTAATGGTAGACTTAGTGACCTATATGGTAGATTTGTTTGTAAATTGTTAGATTCAATATCAATGTGGTAGACTTAGTTATCGGGCAGTGCGATTTTACTTTTTTGCCCTGTATGTATTGTCTAAAATACGGAACAAAACCAGAGTCCATCTTCAACCTCTAGGTTTCGCCGTCGAGCTGTTAAACTTGGGATAACTCTTGATTTTTTCCTTCTACTTCGATCTTGTGCCTCTTATCCACTTTTATATTCATGGATCAAGTTGTTTTGGTTTGTGGTAACTGGGTTTTAAAGAAAACGAGGTGGGTCTTCATCGTAGATCAGTCCAAGAGATGTAGTTTTATAGGGATAGACCGCAAAACGTCCTTTGCCGATTTGGTTGAAATCGCATATGAAGATTTCGGGTTGGATCAACATCTTTATGAGCTTCAGTTCAGCTATATGTTGTCGTCTGAAGTCCGGCGGAAATTACCTCTAGATACACCTCCTGTGTTTCTTGGTAATTCAAGACAGCTGCAGAGTTTTTTGCATCAATTCCAGAACGAAAACGAAACGGTTCGTTTATGTGTTGAGATCAAAGAAAAAGTTCAGAAGGGAGTTGTTGATGAAGACGAAGATCGAGATGCATGTCCTAGTCTAGTCCCTGAAGAACAAGTGCGCCAAGATCGTCCGCAACAAGGTGTTGAAGTTGGACAAGACGAAGAAATGCATGATGAAGAAGAGGATTTGTCAACCAGATTTGATGGATGCGAAGATCCTGATGGTGCAAGTTCCGATGGCGAAGAGTACGGTAGACGTGAGAAACGTCCAGATGGTGAAAGTTCAGATGAGGAGGAGTCGCTAAATCTACCACCGAAGAAAAGGGGACCGACTACAATTCCCGACTTTCAATGTCTAGAGCTTTCATCTTTAGACTTAGCCGTTGGCCAGCGTTATGAAACAAAAGAGGACTTCGAGATGCGACTCAAAATTCTTTCCATTGCTCACAAATTCGACTACAATGTCGATCATTCGAGTAAGAAATTGCTAACTGTTAAGTGTTAGGTAGATGGTTGCAAATGGAGGGTTCGCGCTTCAACTGTTGGGAGCAGCAAATGTTTTTGGGTTAAAACTTATACTCAAGAACACACGTGTTCTGTGACTGTGCGATCACAACGCACCCGCCATGCAACCCATGAGGTTCTAGGCCGTCTATATAAGGACTTCGTCGGAGGTGTTGGCCCAAAAGTCTTACCAAATCACGTCGCCGAAGCTCTGACAAAACGATATAGTATAAAGGTATGTGGTAGAGTTATATTACTTCTCTGGTAGAGTTATTATCTATTTTAGTAGACTTTTATTATTTTTGGTAGAGTTATTACCTCAATTGGTAGACATATTTTTTTTTTTGGTAGAGTTATTAGTTTATTGGTAGACTTATATTATTTCTTTGGTAGAGTTATTAGGTCATTTGGTAGACTTATATAATTTATTTGGTAGACTTATATAATTTATTTGGTAGAGTTATTTTCTCACTTGGTAGAGTTATTATCTTTATGGTAGAGTTATTATCTCACTTGGTAGAGTTATTATCTTATTTCGTAGACTTCACTATATTATTCTCATTTTCAGGTTGACTATTGGAAAGCCCATCGGGCCCTAAAGTATGCTCGAGAACTAGTATCAGGGACGTCTGAAAGTGGTTATGAAGATCTGCCTTCATACTTATATATGATTCGGCGGGCAAATCCGGGTACACTAATCAAGCTAGAAGTTGATGAAGAAGATAGATTCAAATTTATGTTCCTCTCATTTGGCGCAAGCATACAGGGGTTTCCCTTCATGAGGAAAGTGGTAGTGGTCGACGGTACGTTTTTACATGGAAAATACAAAGGTACACTACTACTCGCCACCACGCAAGATGGAAACTTCAACATTTTTCCCATAGCCTTTGCTGTTGTTGATACTGAGAACGATGAGTCTTGGGAATGGTTTTTTACACAACTACACCGTGTTATTCCTGATGATGAAGGACTTGCCATTATTTCTGATAGGCATAAATCCATAGGAAATGCTATAGGGAAGGTTTATCCTCTTGCTAGTCGGGGTATTTGTACATATCATCTCCATAAGAACATTATGGTGAAATTCAGAGGCGCTGAAACATTCAAGCTTGTTAAGAAGGCTGCCACTGCTTATAGACTTCTCGAGTTCAATGCCCTTTTTGCTTAGATTCAAGAGGCAAATCCTGCACTGCATGCATACTTGGTGAAGGCAGATATTTGTATGTGGAGTCGTGTACACTTCCAAGGTGATAGGTACAATTTCACCACTAGCAACATAGCGGAGTCATTAAACAAGGTGCTATCTGCTGCAAGAGGTAAGCCTATCGTACGACTAGTGGATGATATAAGTCTCCTGACCAGGTGGTTTGCTAAAAGACGTGTGAATGCCAATAACATGGCTACCACTCTAACAACGGGCATTGAAAAGTTGCTGGAGGTAGACACTACTTTACCTTGTAGACTTTTTATTATTTGGTAGACTTGTATCTGCTATTAGATAGACTTTCTATTATTTGGTAGACTTGTATCTGCTATTAGGTAGACTTTCTATTATTTGGTAGACTTGGTACACTTATCTCTGCTATTAAGTAGACTTTCAATTATTTGGTAGAGTTATTACTTCTATGTGGTAGACTTATATAACTTCTAAATAATTCCTTGCCGACAGGCTAGAGTTGAAGATGCTAAACTCTTACCTGTGCAAGAGATTGATCAGCATCGTACAGAGGTTTTAGGCACAACATCTGCACATGTTGTCAATTTAACGGAGAAAACATGTACTTGTCGACGGTTTGATTTGGATAAAATTCCTTGCCGCCGCCGATAGGAGGAAGTTGTCGCCGATCTCTCTTTGCCATCATTACTACCACACTAGTTACTTGCAACAAGCGTATGCTGTTAGTGTGATGCCAAGAGACGTAGCACTCCCTGTGCCAGATGAAGTAGCAACCAAAATTTGTCTCCCGCCTGATGTTCGCAACCGACCCGGCAGGCCAAAGAAAATTCGGATTAAGGGTGCGTTCGAGGCCGCCATGGCGAGTAAACGTCCTCGGAAGATCCCCAAATGTGGTAACTGTGGCCAAGGCGGACATAATCGCCTAACTTGTCGAGCTTAGTTGACAAATCGAAAACCTTGTATTTGTACTATTATAGACTGCAATAATCCGCTTGAAAACCTTGTTTTATGTACTTGTAAATCTGGAACTTGTTTTATCTAAACTCTACTATTTTACAATAATAAATCTACCAATTATGTTATAAATCTACCAATATTGCAATAAATCTACCAATCATGTTATAAATCTACCATTCATGGAATAAATCTACCAATCATGTTATAAATCTACCAATATTGCAATAAATCTACCAATCATGTTATAAATCTACCATTCATGCAATAAATCTACCAATCATGTTATAAATCTACAAAGCAGGTTCCTTTTACAGCCATGGCGAGTCGCTTTAAATTCCAAAACACAAGCGACGTCTAAATTCCAAAAGACCACCAAAGAGGCTGGCTATGAGTAATAAATCGGCCAAAATACAACATCCGATACCAAAAGTCTACCAATTAGTTTGGATCTGAGTATTAAATCTACCAAAAAACGATTTCAGATCCCAAAGGTCTACCAAACCAAGATCTCAGTTAGCGGAGTCTGTCTGTAAACCGTACTTGTCATCAAATAAACTTCGAGGGTTAGGATCAGACATCCGGGATTCTTCTGCTTCATGTACCTCATCAAAAATCTCAGCTGCGTATTTCATACGAATGAGAGGCATGTTGCTATCTTTCAGCTGGTCCCATTTATGGCACAAAGCCAAACACTCGATGGTCTTCAAAGTAAAGACGCCACAATCACCTGATAACAAGTACCCGATAATTAGTTAAAAGTCTACCAAATAAAAATACCAAATCTACAGAGCTGCATTGCACCTGTCTGTCTGTTTAGTGCCGCTGTTTTATACATGTAGATATGAAACTGCCCCTCCTTCATACCCTTCTTGAGCTCCGGTGGTGCCATATGTTTCAACAACAGCGGAATCATCCTCGCGTAAGGCTTCACAGACTCCTCCACCTCGCCTTTTCTGTATAAATCTGGAATGCAATCAAACACTCGGATCTTTTTTTTGGGAATGTCGACCTCAACGGCTACCCAATGTTTGTTGTTCACGTTGTGGGCGATATACACGAAATCAACATCTGTCCCCCATTT